GGGGTAGCCATGCTGGATGGCACAGCTTTGAAGGGTGTGTGTGATTTTCACTGTTTTAAGTTCTTAAATCCTCTTCATCTCCTCTTCTGCCTTCATGAGGTCTGTGCAGTGCTTGGCAGACCAAATTAAAGCAACTGTTTTCCATGATTCCCTTTGGAACAATGAAAAAGCAAACAGCTTTTAAACTTTGAGTTTAAAAGCTGTAGGTTTTTTTTTCTTTCTTTTAATTGCCTTTTTTATAGCTTTTTCACTTCTTCTCCTCTATTTTATAATCATATTCACACACGCTGAGATCACTGTGCATGATGTATATGTGGTTATGCAGCTGTAAAAGATGGGTGTTCCTCCTCCTTCTTTGCCAATGTTTGGGGTGTGGCTCTTTTGTGTCCATCTGTTCAAGCTCTGAAGAGAAAAAAAAACAGTTTACAATATTTCCACAAACACATGCATGCAAAAAATTATTTCCTTGGCATGGATTCAGTTCATTGCAAATGCCAGGAGATTTAAAGACGCATGCAAAATTTATTAAAAAAATTAAAGTAAGCTGTTCTAGGACTGCAAAACAATTGCATAAATGTCATATCTCAGCTCTTTGCCCAACAAAAGAAAAGTTTAGCAGAGCTTAAATAATAATAATGCTTTGTCATTCAATGCAGAATCTGTGTTTAGGAGAGAAAAAAAAAACTTCTCTGTGTTTGAAGTGCCTGTTCTGTTTTTGCTCTCTTCTCAGGGGACTTTTTGCAAGCCACTACACTGAGACACATTACAGGGAGGATGGAAGTGCGGTCACCGGTGCTCACAACTTCACGGTACGGTGGCCCTCGAGTGCTTGTGGTCACGTCAAGTTGACATGCAGCTGTGCGTTGTGGTCTCACTGGATTAAAAAAGAAAAAATGCCCAAGAAGACAGACACATTTTACTTTGAGCTTCAATTCAGCAGAGAAAAACACTTTGTGTGTTCCAATGCTAAAATGAAATTCCATACCAGGAAAGGGCATCTTAAGTGATGGAAAGGGCCACGAGTTTTTGATGACGAGTTCACATAGCTCTGCATACTTGCCCATGTAATAAAACTGCCACTTTAAAAATGTTTGTGTATATATGTTTGTTAAATCAACAGTGCTGTAATTCTTCATGCTCCAATGCGTCTATAACAGTTGKACCATTGTGAGTCGCCAATCCCTGATAAACTCAGCCCAAAAAAAAGGAAATTTGTGTTTTAAAAAAAATTAAGAAGTCTCTCCTCCAAGATACTTCTTCAGGAGAGGAGGAGAGGCGAAAGTTTCATTAAAGAAGAACACGTCCAGAGGACCTGCTTTTTTTTTTTTCTTTTTGACTTTTCTACCAGGGTTACTGAGATGTGTTTTGTTTATTTTGTTGGATCAATGTTCATTTATTTATATATATTTTTGTAATCTCTTATGGTAATAGACTAACTTACACAGTGCTTTATCAAGCCCCATCAGAGCCCAAAGCATTTACACTACAGTYATGCACCCATTCACACACTGCTGATGAACACAACATCTGAGACGGCTGGAACAGGGGATTGAACCAGCAACCTTCAGGTTACAGGATGACTCCCCTAACCACTCTGCCCACACACCACTTACTCAGCTCCTATAATTTCACTCCAATTAAGAAATATGCAAGCTGTCTTACTACTTGTGCAATATTTATTTTTATGCATTCTAGTCTTTATTTGGAAGCTCACCTAACACCCCTCCCCCAASCAGTCCCCTGGTTGTTGCAGAGCTAAACGTCCATCTTTTGACCTATTTGTTGATAAGCTGTGGGTTTTTTTCTCCATGTTTTTCAGCCTCCGCTTCTATCAGGATTTGTCATAAAATCCTCTTTTAGTGCTCAGTTCTGTGCATAAGCAAGCCAGATATAGCAAATAGTTTGCTTCACTTTTAAAAAAAACAAATATGTTTCTTTTACTTTTTCAATTTCAATTTATAGTGCTTGTCAGGTTTACCTGACCGCAGGACTTGGCTGATTGAAAATCAGTTGAAGTGGCTCTGAAAAAAAAAAAAAAAACAAGAAAAACACTCGACAAATCTTTGTTCTCTGAATTTTTTTTACCTCACTTGACACCAGCTTGTCATTTTTAGTGCCCATTTTGGAGCGGAGAAACGTTTGCTTGGCGTCACAGAAACCTGTGATTCATGACAGTCAGAAGTTGTTTTTTTTTCTCTTTTAAGGAACGGTTGATTGTTGCGCTTTTGTACCTCGGTTTGACTGGCAATCATGGTGTTGAATTGAACAGCTGTGAGGATATTTTTACAGCTYGGAGGAGCAGTTTGTTTGTTTAACGCTGACTGACAAGTCAGCTCCTCACAAAGTTGCTTGAAACAGCTTTTCCACATGCTGTCTCTCTCTCATCAGTAATTTTCTGTTGGAGAATGTTACAAACATCTGGTTGTCAAAGGGACTTGCTGCGTTGTCTCAGATAAGTTTCATGAAGCTGTGCAGTTTGTGTACCTGCTGTCACTGAACTCAGTCTGCCGTGTGTTAAATCAGGCATCAGAAGAAGCAAAATACAGCGGGTAAAATGAGTATTGAACACGTCACCATTTTTCTCAGTAAATATATTACTAGAGGTGCTAATGACATGAAATTTTCACCAGATGTCGGTAACAACCCAAGTGATCCATACATACAAAGAAATCAAACCATAAATGTCCAGAAATGAAGTTATTTGTAATAATGTGGAATGGCACAGGGAAAAAGTATTGAAGACATGAAGAAAGGGGAGGTGTAAAAAGGCATGGAAAGCCAAGACACCAGCTGAACTCTCTCAGTAATTAGAAAGCAAGCCTGCCCCTTGTCAGTGCAAGTTAATATCAGCTGGTTTAGTCCCAAATGATGACCAGGTATCACACAAGAACCATCTGATGATGGGTAAAAGTAAAGAGCTCTCTCAAGACCTTCACAACCTTATTGTTGCAAAGCATAATGATGGCATCGGTTACAGAAGAATGTCTAAACTTCTGATGGTTCCAGTGAGCACTGTTGGGGCCATAATTCAGAAGTGGAAAGAACATTATTTCACCATAAACTGACCACGACCAGGTGCTCCTCACAAGATTTCTGACAGAGGAGTGAAAAAGAATTATCAGAAGAGTTGTCCAAGAGCCAAGGACCACTTGTGGAGAGCTTCAGAMAGACCTGGAATTAGCAGGTACGTTTGTTTCAAAGAAAACAATAAGTAATGCACTGAACCACCATGGCCTGTATGCACGCTCACCACGCAAGACTCCACTGCTAAAGAAACAGCATGTTGAAGCTCCTTTAAAGTTTGCTGCACAACATTTAAACAAGCCTGTGTAATACTGGGAGAATATAGTCTGGTCAGATGAGACCAACATTGAACTGTTTGGATGCCAGAATACACATCATGTTTGGAGGTCAAATGGCACTGCACATCAGCCCAAAAACACCATACCAACAGTGAAGTTTGGAGGTGGGAACATCATGGYGTGGGGCTGTTTTTCAGCATATGGTACTGGCAAACTTCAAATAACTGAAGGAAGGATGAATGGAAAAATGTACAGAGACATTCTTGATAAAAATCTGCTTCCATCTACCAGGATGATGAAGATGAAACGTGGCTGGACATTTCAGCAAGACAATGAGCCCAAACACAAAGTCAAGGAAACTCTCAGTTGGTTTCAGAGAAAGAAACTAAAGCTTCTGGAATGGCCCAGCCAATCACCTGACCTGAATCCAACAGAAAATCAATGGGAAGAACTAAAGATCAGAGTTCATAGAAGAGGTCCACGAAACCTTCAAGATTTGAAGACTGTTTGTGTGGAAGAATGGGCCAAAATCACACCTGAGCAACGCATGCCATTAGTTTCTCCATACAGGAGGCGTCTTGAAGCTGTCATTGACAACAAATGCTTTTGTACAAAGTATTAGATAAATTTCAGTAAGTGTGTTCAATACTTTTTCCCTGAGCCATTCCACATTATTAGAAATAACTTAATTTCTGGACATTTATGGTTTGATTTCTTTGTATGTATGGATCACTTGGGTTGTTACCAACATCTGGTGAAAATTTCATTTTATTAGCACCTCTAGTAAGATATTTACTGAGAAAAAAGGTGACGTGTTCAATATTCATTTTACCCGCTGTGCATGTAAGCAACTTCCTAAAATTCAGACAAGAATGCGAGAAAGGAAGGGGAAAGTCGCAAAATTTGTAAAGAAACTGCCCTTTCTTCTTTTTTTTATCATTTTTTCTTATTTACCTCATACTTTGCAACTCTTATTTTACTCCAGACACTCCCAATATGATCTAAACCACGGATGGGCAACTGGTGGCCTGTGAGTCACATCCGTCTCACGAGTGACTTTCGTCCCACCTACTAATGAGCACCACGCTGCCCTATTTATTTATTTATTTATTTATTTATTTATTTATTTATTTATTTATTTATTTATTTATTTATTTATTTGTTTGTTTGTTTGTTTATTTAAAAAACACTTAAAACATCTCTTAGAATCTAGGAGCAGTTTTGTGTGTGTGTGTTTTTTTAAGTAAAAAAAAATAAATGTTCAATATTTCAAGGCAAAAGTGTATAATCTGCTTAGAAACATCTGCCATAATAGCTTTCCGTCTGTCCGTTCATTTTCTTCCACTTTTCTGGGGTTGGGTCGCGGAGGCAGCAGCCTAAGCAGAGAGACCCAGACTTCCCTCTCCCCAGCCACTTGGGCCAACTCATCCGGGGGAATCCCAAGGCGTTCCCAGGCCAGCTGAGAAACTGGTCCCTCCAAAGTGTCCAGGGTCTTCCTCTGGGCCTCCTCCCAGTGGGACATGCCTGGAACACCTCATCAGGGTGGCRTTCAGGAAGCATCCTAACCAGATGCCCGAGCCACCTCAACTGGCTCCTCTTGACGTGGAGGAGCAGCGGCTCTACTCTGAGTCCCTCCCGGATGACTGAGCTTCTCACCCTATCTCTAAGGGAGAGCCCAGACACCCTGAGGAGGAAACTTATTTTGACCRCTTGTATCTGCAATCTTGCTCTTTCCTTCACTGCCCAAAGTTCGTGACCATAGCTGAGGGTAGGAATGTAGACCGACCGGTAAACCGAGAGCTTCACCTTTTGGCTCAGCTCCCGCTTCACCATGACAGATCGGTACAGCCCCCGCATCACTGCAGATGCAGCACCAATCCACCTGTTGATCTGCTCCATTCTTCCCTCATTCGTGAACAAGACCCCGAGAAACTTAAACTCCTCCACTTGGGGCAGGACCTCCTCCCTGACCCGGAGAAGACCCCCTATCCTTTTCCGACTCAAGACCAAGGTCTTGGATTTGGAGGCACTGATCCTCATCCCAGCCGCTTCACACTCGGCTGTGAACCACTCCAGTGAGAGCTGGAGATCATGATCTGATGAAGCCAATAGGACCACATCATCTGCAAAAAGCAGAGATGTGATCACAAGGTCACCAAAACAGATCCCCTCAACACCTTGGCTGTGCCTAGAAATTCTGTCCATAAAAGTTATGAACAGAATCGGTGACAAAGGGCAACCTTGGCAGAGTCCAACTCTGACCGGAAACGAGTCCAATTTACTACCGGCAATGCAGACCAAGCTCTGGCATACAGGGACCTAACAGCCCATATCAAAGGGCCTGGTACCCCATACTCCCGGAGTACCCCCCACAGGAGTCCCCGAGGGTCACGGTCGAACGCCTTCTCCAAGTCCACAAAACACATGTAGACTGGTTGGGCGAACTCCCATGCACCCTCCTGAGGTTGTTGAGCTGGTCCGCTGTTCCACGACCAGGACGAAAACCACACTGCTCTTCCTGAATCTGAGATTTGACTATCCGTCGGGTCCATAATAGATTAATTGTTATTATTTTTAGTGTTAATATTAGTCGTCACTACAACATGTTGCACAAGGCTAAATATGAGAAGTTTACTAAGTCTCAAGTACATAAACAGCAACTTTTTACCAGAACCACAAACACACAGGAGTCTGTACTCGCGGTGTCTTTCAGTTTGCTAAAGTGTTTCTTTTTTGTTTGCCTCAGACGTTATGTATTCATATTTATGAAACGAGTGCAACTGTTATACATGCATTTGAGCATGGAAAATGTTGTTACTGCAATGAATGTTGGTTTATCATACACAAACATTTTTAAAATGGCAGTTTTATTACACTTTGGTAAGTGCGTCAACAAAAAAATCCATCATTTAAGTTGCCCATTACTGATCTAAACACAAGCTGTACTTGGACAAAGCCTATTGTCCTGACTTTATAAAGGTAGAAAACAGAGCCAAGAGGAAGGTCAGGAGTCTGTTTTTCCCTTTTCACCACTTGAAAAACATTCACTCCTTCTGCCTGATGTTTTCCTCTGTGAAAGGTGAGTTAATCTAGGTCAAGCTGAGCAGAGCGTTGCTCTATATTTATACCACTGTCTTCCAGTTCTGCTTCCACCTGGCTCACTAACCTGCTCTGAACTCATCAAACAGAAGTGTTCCCTCCTTGAAATTTGGTATTCAGGATGAGAAATGGTCAGCGAACTTGCTGGTGACAGTTAATTTAGGAGCTGCTAGGCAGTAAATGGAGGTCTGCATCTCTCTTTAATGACAGTCATTTCCTCTCCTTCCTTATGCTCAGACAACACGAAGATCCCTATTTTTTTTATTTTTTTTTATTTATTTATTTATTTGCCTTCCACCAGAACGCTCTGATGGAAAGATGAAGGATAAGCTATTACCATATTACTGTCACCTCGCATGCATGTCAGTTTTCCTGCTTTTCCCCTTGCATTAATTTCAAACGGCCTGTTTGTAAGCAGATGGAGACTTAAGGGGGGCGACTGCTCCTCAGAGCATGCTAATTGAAATGAACATGAACTGGGCAGCAACAGGGCAATTTCACTGTGTCTGGTCCTCGTTTGCTCTTTTGAAGTCAAGTTGGAGCTACTGTTCCGCTGCAAGAAAATAACCATTTTTGTTGTCTTTTTTATTTTTATTTTTTCAAAATGATACTTTTCTAATAGTTGTGTAAAGTCTGTCATTTTTCTAAAGTGTTTTTCTTTCTCTTTTTTTCCCCATATGAAAAAAAAAATCTCTTTCAGAATAACTGCTATTACCACGGGGAAGTGCAGCAGCATCCAAACTCGGATGTTACCCTGAGTGTGTGCTCGGGTCTTCGGTGAGTAATGCAAGAATCATTTTGTATTCAAGCTGCCCTTTAAGTGCTATTTGCCACTGCAGAGTTTTTTATTTGCTTAAGTCACTCAGCAAAGCAGCCCGTCGTCTTTAAGCCCAGTAAGGGTTCTGTCAGTAAGATGGTGTGCGACTCGCTGAAACGGGGGGGAAAATGTCAAATACCTCTGTCCAAATAGGCGTTCAGTAGCTGCTTTCATTTTAGCTGCAGTTGGCATCTGACTTGTGCTAATGACCGGACACACTTTGGAGCTTGTTGAAGTGGGTGTTAGTCAAGTTGTAAGATTAACAGCTTCACCTTATAATTAATTCTATGTTCAACAGTAGAACAGATTGTGTTTAGTTTGCCATGATAAGTTTCTTTTTTTTTTATCAACGCAGTAGCTTCTAATTACATAGCACATTTAACTTGCCCTGGGAGGTTTAGCCTTGATCTAAGATGAAAGATAAATCTATGTTAATGAAAAAAAGCCTCCACGTGAAGAATATTAATGCCACTGAGACGATTTGTGTTCATTAAAGCTTTCATCTTGAAATCCATCAAAATTTTTGAACAGCAACAACCTGTGGCTTGATCAAAACAAATTTCGGAGTTTCATTTGGTCTCAGTAAGAGTGCGTTTACAGACAAAAACCTGCCTCTGTTGTTCCATCAGAAAGAGCCACATCTGATCAATTTCTGCGTTGGGCCAAGTGCAATATGCTTTGAAGTTTTTTATATATATATTTTTCTTACTTTCTCTGCAGAGGCTTCATTGCACTCGAAAACAAGACATTTATCATTGAGCCTGCGTCTGGCCACCACGCCGGGGCCCACTTCATCTACCGGGTGGAAGAGCTTAGCCTGACAACTGGAGCTTGCGGCCATGGCTTCAACCTGTCCTCTGTTGCCCCTGAAAACCAAATCAAAAGCCCCTTTCAGTCCTTCCACACAAGGGTGAGCTTTTAGTGTTGCTTTTGCGAAGCAGAGCCAATAAACATGTTTGTGAAATGTTAATCAACTTTTTTTTATTTATTTCATTATAAAATACATCAGACAAAACAAAAGATAAAAGTGACTTGACCAAAATTTGGCATGTTGGCTATCAGATTAATATAAACAGGTTCTCTTGAGGTATAGATTTGGATTTGACCCTCATTTTATTTGTGTTAAGAGCCCAGAGTTGAGGGCCCATGCAGACGCTTTGGCTGATATTTCGCAATGAGCAGGTGCAGCATCCATCTGTCACTATTACCAAAAATTAAAAAAAACTCCCATTTGAGGTAGGAAGTGGGACTAACCCACAAAATGAACCTAATGGCCCCAGACTTTTATGGTAAATCAACTCTCAAATCTGTTTTAAAGGGAGAATTTGTTCTGCATTAAAATGTGGGATTTTGAAGGAAACGGATCATGGATTATGATTTACAGATTTAGAGTTCTTTATCATGGTTTCACTGCTTTTCAAATTCACAGAACTCTATAAAACTGGAGCTGAATAACTTCATTTCTTCCATGGGGAAACAGATCCTTAGTTTAAACATATAAAAACAAAAATGATTTTGCTCAAATAGTTGATTTGTACCTGGAAAAATRTTATGATGAACATTTATTTTTTATTGAAATAAAATATTTATTGGTTTGAACTACTCCCTAACCCCTAAATGAAGTGCACAGAGCTCACTAAGAATCATTTTCAGCGTTATAGAGTCAATGGGCCTCATGCAAGAACATGTTCGTATTCTTRTCCTAAATTTCTCTTACTTTTGTTCGTACAAAGGTTTCGTACGAACATGTCACGTCAGATTCAACAAACTCTTCTATCTTCAGGAAAAGTGCGTAAATGAGCTGCGTAAWTTMCACCTKTTCTATCCAGCTGCTCGTGCACGCGAGAGGAGATTAGCATAATTACCACCCCAAAAACACCATATAAGGCTATGTTTCCTACCTCAGATACAAGTGTTCATTCATGAAAAATGACAGCGAAAACTGAAAAAATAAAAACTTTACGAGTTCAGAGATTGAAGTCCGTCTGTCAGAGATCCAGAAAAGAAAATCTGTCATTTTTAGCAGCTCAGCTGTGGAATAAAAAGAGCTGCTAAAAGTATAAATAATTGTGTTAAATCATTTTCATTTATTCAGAAGCCGCAGCGCTGCGCACCGTGCCCTGCCCAGCAGACTGACTGTTCGTAAAATATACGACAGGTCTGGACCACTCGTAAATTTTGTTCGTATCTGAAAAAAATCTTAGAATACGAAAACATTGGTGAATGCCACAAATTCTCCTAAATCACTCGTACGCACAACTTAAGAACAAATCTGTGCGTACGAACGGTTCTTGCATGAGGCCCATTGTTTGGTGATGTAGTAACAAAATTATGAACAGTAAAGAATTAGAAATGGCATTTGTGAAAGTCACCCACCTCTCTGAGGAGTTGAATGGGAGGATCACAACAGGAGGTGGTCAAAAAAAATGCTATTGTTTTGAAGTTTTATCTTAAATGTTGCCTTTGGGTAAAACTTAACTTGTTGAATTGAATTTAAAGGTTTAACTGTAAATTTGTGTGCATGTGTGTTTAGAATATCCTCCCAACCTGGAACAAATGTGTGTTGTCTTTGTTTTCTCAGCATAAAAGACATACTCAGAAGACAACTAAATACGTCGAGCTGATTATTGTTGCAGACAACAGAGAGGTAAAGCACCTGTTCGTCTTCCAAATCGCAAATTTGTCCAGCAGCTACAGAACACTGAAACACAGCAACCCTTCAGGCTAGCCCTGATTTTATAAACAAAAGAAAAAAAAAGAAAAGGCAGGGAAAGCAGCAGTAAGTGTAGAGCAGGTCCCTCTGGAGCTGCTAAATGAGGTGAGTGTGCAAAAAAACCTGTTGCAGCAGCATTTTAATCTTTTTTTTAGCCTGAAACTTTTATTTTCAGTTCCCCAGCAGAGCAGACAGGAAACAGGAAAAATCCACACGGATACAAAAGAGTCCCACTGTAAGCACTAACAAGCTTGTTGTGGGGTTTCCTCTTGACAGTTCCCTGCTAATGCCATTGACCTGAATAGAAGAAAAGGAAACAGAATTTTTGAAAAGGAAAAAAAAAGGAAGAAAACATTTTAAGTTCAGATTTGAAGTGAGGAATCAGCTCAGGTGGACGCACAGCAGGGTGGAAGCAGACAATGTGAATTTGCTTCAGTTTACACGCAGAGATTCGATGCTCCCTGGGATCGTGCTATCCGTCTTACGAACACCAGGAGATTTTTCTACATCCAGATGGTCACAGCTTGACAACACACAGGAAAACATATTGCCTGTGAATATTTTGGGCAGGCGTTCGCACCAAAGTGCCTCCGTTTGCATGTGTGCCGTGCCATTTCATGGTTTTTAGATTGGAAAATGATAGTCTCACTTATGTCGTCACGAAACACCTGCTAAATGCTCATTTGTTCCACCGCTAACGTGCAATTTATTTATTTATTTATTTTCTTTTTTTAGTTTCAGAAACAAGGGAAGGACTTGGAGAAAGTGAAACAGAGGCTAGCGGAAATAGCCAATTATGTGGACAAGGTAAAACATCGTCTCCTTAATGTGAAATCAGGATAAATCACTTTTTAAAAATAGAAATCACGCTGGCAGTAGAGATTAATGGGATGACTGTGTGATATATTAATTTTCTTTTTAAGCAGCTGCCTGAGCTGTGGCTAGAACACGCAGTAGGCAGATGAATTTATTTTAGGCGGCGATTGAAAGTCATGCCTTGATCATGTTAAAATAAGAAAAGAGATTGGTTTTAAAGGAGAGGTTTAAGAGCTGGTGAAAGAAATAGTAATATATTTCAGTGGATTGAACTTTAAATATTATTCTCTTGCACATTTGTTTGAAGAACATTCGTGCCTTCCAAATTCTTTCTCTCTTCTGATTTGTCTGAGTCCATTTCTTACCATGCTTCCCTTCAGTTCTACAGAGCGTTGAACATCAGGGTGGCTCTGGTGGGTCTGGAGGTGTGGAGTGACTCTGACAAATGCCCCGTCACTCAGGATCCCTTCACCACTCTGCACGAGTTCCTAGACTGGAGGAAAGTAAAACTGCTGCCCCAGAAGCCTCACGACAATGCGCAGCTCATAAGGTGAACATTTATTTTGACAGTCACAGAAACCTCTGGGCATTGTGAGATTTTTTTTTCTTTGTTTGTTTCACCTAGAAAAAGAAAAAGAAAAACCTCCTCAAAATGTGTCAGTGTCAGCACCACATCTACAAAACCACAATATACTGCCTGTATGGGGGAAAAAAATGCAGTTTATTCTTATCACTGGTTCAAGTGAGAATTTATAAATGAGTTCATCCAGCACCAGCTCTGCACCAATCAAACAAAAAAACAACAAAGAACAGGAAACATACAGAACTAAATGAACTTGTTAGAGAGGAAACTGTATGCTCAGTATTTTGATGGCAAAAAGGCTRACGTTTAACAAAAACAATAACTTTAAAGGGAGGTATTATGTATTTTCAAGGCACATAGTTCAGTTCTATACCACAACAACTATTGTTATCTTCAGTTGTTATGAAAAAGCTGCATATTACAAAAAGGAATTTGACTTTGCATCATAGCCTATATAACAGGGATAGCCAATTCTGGTCCTCGASGTCCGCAGCCCTGCACGTTTGACTTGTTTCTCTGCTCCAACACACCTGATTTGAATGAATGGATGATTTTCGGGCTTCTGCAGAACTTGGAAGAGGTAATTCACTGACTGCATCAGGTGTGTTAGAGAAGGGAAACAAGTAAAACATGCAGGGCTGCGGACCTCGCTACTGTATATAAACACCTTGAAATTGGCCTCTGTCTTTTTAAGAACCTCCTGTTTTGGATACGTCCACTTAAAAATAATGAAAATAATAATTTTCTATAATGATTTATGTAATACTTGATGATTGAGGACTAAAATATTCATAATTAACAGTAAACAGACTTAGACAAAACAATAAAATAGCCATTCAGGCAGTTATTATTCAGTAATTAGCAGAAGGCCSTAACATACATTGAAGGTTTGCATGTTGTATTATGTACAAACTGTTGCAAAAGTATTAAATACACTGATGACACAGCTCTGGTTTGTCTTTAATTTGATGAAGAAGAGGACCGAGGTCCAGTTTTGGATATTTCTTTCTTAACCGGTGTAAACAATCAAATCTTCTGCTTAGCGTGAGCAAAACTAAAGACATGTCTATAGATTTCAGGAAAAGCAAATCCTCTTGCCTATCTTATATTGACGGTGAACTGATGCTTGATTACAAGTGTTAAATATCTTGGCGTCGTGCTTGATCACAGATTGAAGTGGGATTTATGGACTGACCATATGAGCACAAAGATGCAACAACAAAAGCATTTTTTTAAAGAAGTTGTCGTTTAAAGGCACAGTGTGTAGGATTTTGTCAATTCTTTTAGCCGAAATTGAGATAATCACTAATGACAATAATAAAAACCATGTCTAATCATTGCAGACAAAGAACTTGTTTTATTATTTTTACCTTATAAAAAGCTGTTTATATCTCCATGGTCGCGGGTCGCCACACAGGCAGCCGCCATCTTGCACCGCCATCTTGTCTACGAAGGCTCATGAAGGACAAACYGCRGTGGCGGCGTCAAAAACTGTTTTAATTGTAATACTCTAAATGTAATATTTGTTGTCTGTCATTGTAGCTGGGATAATTTTACTTATTAAAGCTCATAATCTTACCACTTGAAACATCACTAGCCCTGAAGCTGCTGGTAGACATCGCTGTTGGAATTATCAAAGGTTTTTGACACCTGAGAGACACCGTAGCAACTTTGCGTTTGGAAGCGGGGGGTGGGGGGAGGACCAAGGAGGATGATTCAACCACTAGATGTTGCTGAAAACAACAAATCCTACACACTGTGCCTTTGATGCTCATAAAAAGTTTCTTCACGTTTTATCGTGGTTTTATTGAAAGTCTATTATCTTTCTGTATCATTTTGTAATTGCATTATTCAGCAAGCATTTACGAGTGTGTGGTTCACAAGGCAAAAATAAAAATCATGATTGACAAAACCCACTTCTTTGCTCACTGCTTCAAACATTTACCATGGCAGCTGATTAATATGTATTTATGTCATTAGCTTATTTAATTTGATTTGACCTTAAATTTTTAACTAATTGGGTTATTTTTCAGTTTTCATTGTTCTTGTATTTCAAGTTTGAACAATATATTCATTTGTGTATTATTTTTTTTTTACCTTTTTTATATTCATTTCCCAGATGTGTTTATTCATGCATTCGGTTTAATTAGGCAAACATTTTTAAATTAATTTATTTGTTTGTAATCCGTATTCACTTTCACATTTCGCACGTTTGTGATGAGGGTTTGGAAAGCATTTGTGTTGCATTGAAGATCAGAAAAAATAGGTCACTTCATGAAAACAATGTCTGAGAAAGAAGAAAAAAAAACATGTTTAGCTGCCTTTTTTTTTACATTACAGTATTTGTAATTTAGTGCATTTATTCACCTCCAAAAATCTGCCCGTTAATTCTAGAAAGACTGTTCATCAAAGCAAATGTATTGTCTAACAATGTTTATGTTTTCATATCATAATAAAGCTGTAGAAGTCTAAATGATAATTTTTGCTGTGTTGCTGTCTAGGAAGCTGATTCTGTGAAATGTTTGCCAAAGCAACCGCGGTTTTACACACGTTTTGAGTTCAAAGCCACACCGTGCCGTGTTATTAACATTTGCTCCTTTGAACATTTTAATCGCCTACTCTTGTCTTTTGCAGCGGGGTTTACTTCCAGGGCACCACTATTGGCATGGCGCCCATCATGAGTATGTGCACTGTGGAGCAGTCTGGAGGCATTGTCATGGTGAGTATGAAACCCTCTCCTTGCTCCCACAAAAGCCTCCCCTCTCCTTTTCTGCCCCCCGTAGCCCAGTTGCATCAGTGAAGGGATTGTCCTGATTCTGCAAGCTAATGCAATCCAGACCTGATTTACAAAGATGAATATGACCTTTGGCTTGCTGAAAAGGTGCTTACGGACAGCTCTGCCAGGGCGCCTTGCCTAATGACGTACTGATGTTTGTGCTGGCACTCCTCACACTAGACACAAACACAAAAACGCAACAATGTGTGAAAGTTTCTGCAGAGTTTTGCCTGCAATGACTGTTTAAAGCTGCATGAAGCCTTTGTAGTTTTGTCGTAGATGAAAGCTGCAGGTTGAAGGTATAGTAGCTTCTGTGTGATGTGTCATTTCTAAGCAAACCATTTAAGCTGCCAGTGTAGATTTTTGAATTGAATTGATCGAAACTCGTGACCAAAGGGTTTGTTGGCAGGATGGAACTGAAGAAATTCTCCAAAATATTTCTGTTTTTTTTTTTTTCAAATTTATTTGAACTAAGAAGGTCCTGTATTTGTCATGCCTGGTTCACACGGCAAGATTTTAAAATGGTCAGTTGATTATCTAAGACCTCACGAACATTTAGATGTCAGACAGGAAATCTCTCGACATCCCTCGAGATCAAATGTGAATTCAGAGTAAATAAACATGGCCGACAAGGACGAAGCAATCATGATAGTTTGTGGACTATATTTAAAAGAGAAAAAATAAAAAGGCACCTCCGACTTTGTATTTTGTTTTCCCCTCCATGTTTCCCTCATCTTGCTTTCTGATTGGCTACATGCCACACTCAACAGGCTGAGAGGTGTTTTTTCCTTAGAGAACACCACACACTCTGGGATATTGAGTCTATTTTGTTCAGCGTTTCTGTTAACAAGAGCTTTCTTATTTCTTTTACATTTGCAGGCCCTATACCTGTACATTTATGGAGCAAAATATTGAACTCACACACATTTAATTGACAACATGTCTTACCAGACTCTGGGACAAGCGCTGATTCCCAAATCATTTCCACAACACGAACGCTGCATGACAGTCTCCCTCAGCGGGCACACGGTGACACCTTTCCTCCTCGTAAAAATTGTGAGATTATTCGTGTCAAAACTGGATGCGAAGCGAGCACTTCTGTAAATCAAAAGCCACCACTTCTGAGCACCCTGTCATTTACATTTTTACGAGAAGTGATAAGATGTTTACTCCTGCTTCTTTCAGAGCATACGCTTGGAATCAGAATTTTTTCTTTTTATTTATTTATTTATTTATTTTTTGCATTTTCTTTTATGCACAACTGTACATCCTCCCTACGGAGTTACTACATGTCATAAATTCGCTTCTGGTTCATGAGATCCGTGCCGAAACGCAAAGCGGTTATCAGCCCGGTCCCATTATGCCTCAGCCCAGATGTGCATGCCCCCATCAATAGATTTGTTTTCTGSTGGCTGTTGCTGTGATGAGGCTTTTCCAGATGTTTGTCTTCCACATTACTTCCACAAAGCAGATGGTCTGGATCGAGATTAAAGGGCCACAAAAGGAGTAAGAGGGCGGTCAAAGACGACGATCTATTTCTCAAACCATACCGGACCATGTGTTCTACCCCAAAAGCTTAGATTTGGTCATTTATCTTTTCCACATGAATAGAAATTATATTGGACAGCCTATCAGAACCATGCTCGGATCGTAACTTGCACATCATTTATTTGCCATCCCAAAAGCACAAGTTTGATCATACTTTCTTTAAAAATATTTTAATTATYAATGCTATGAGTACTCGGCTATAGAATAAACACATGTAGTTCCAGAAATACACTCCACTGATAAACATGGTAGAAGCAGCAGAGAGGTTTCCCATCCTTCCTGTTGGAAGGCAGGCTGCAGCTCCCATGACGCTGCTCTTTAATCAGAACAGGAAGTGACTCATCTTGCTCTCAACTTTGACTGATGACTGTGGTTTTAAAGGATACATGTGATTTTTCTCATGTTCGCACCAGAGAAACACATCACAGTAGGAGATACAGTACAGCAGATGACATTCATTTCTCTCGGTTCACAGTATTAGGAATTCGGACTAAAATTGAAATGAGATTGGAAATGTAGTCATCCTGTCACCTTTTRTGCTGTATTTATCTGTAAGATCAAAGTTTGCCTGTCTTAGCTGCACAAGATATTTGCATTTYGTTCATCCTACTTTCATATTTTAAGCCTTTATCTTTAAAAAGGTTGGAAAAGTGCAAAWACTCCAGTTTGGACGACACATGATTTATCGGCTGCTGATAGTGGCTAAATGCATGAAATCTGAGATAGTGCCATTAACAATTAATCATGTAACAATACATATTTTTATACTGTCTCAATGACATTAATTTAATCTTAATGKTTGAGTTTGTTTGATTACAATTTATTAGTTGTCCTTATTTACATCCCTACAGATARGGATATTTCCTCACAGCAAAAAGAAAAGTTCATGTTAGAGAGATTGTTTAGCGTCACAATATTTAGTTTTCTAAGCCTTTGATAACTCAACGACATGATGGATGTTTGTGTCTTGAGCTATCTTCTATAGATTTTACTCCTTTTCCAGATGCACCTTGGTGCACAAGCGCTACACTGATTTAATATTTCATTTACTATTCCTCATCCCAGCCTCCCCGTCTGTAAAAACTTGTTAAAATCCAAACTTTCATTCCTGTGTTGTCATTATCCATCTTTGTCTGCCAGGTGAAGGGCACTTGTCTTGCTTATCAGTGCAGACATACTGCGATGGGTTTATGCAGCTTTCTGCAGTAGCTGTCTCCAACAGCAGACGGTATGATTGGGTCTGTAGGGGTAGTGGAATGACAGATGAATTTTGGTCTCCATGAAGAGAATGAGTAATAGAAAAATGATGGGACRTAGGTAGGCTGTCTGTTGTTTAAATAAAAATCCTATTTGATGTTTGCGTTTCCATGTGCGTCTCAATTTGCTGTCCAAGCAGAGTGCAGAACCGAACGTAATTAACGTGTCCCGTGCCTTCCTTGTCCAGGATCACTCTGAGAACCCGCTGGGTGCAGCTGTGACTTTAGCACACGAGCTGGGACATAACTTCGGCATGAACCACGACACCCCCGAGCGAGGCTGCGGCTGCAGGATGACTGTTGATCGGGGAGGCTGCATCATGACCCCCTCCACCGGGTGAGTCTGGGAATGTTTTCCATTCACAACTAAGATGTGGCAAACACAGCGGGAGTTGACCAAGGAAAATAAATAAACTAGAAACGTACAACAGTTACTGGAAACGCAGCGTTAAAACAGAAGTAGAACAGAGAAGAAATTATGATGGAAACTTAGGACACAAAATTTGAGAAAACTTGAGGTATCAAGAATTATTAGAGAAGTTATTTGTGATC